AAGCTTTGAGATTTAAGAATAGAGTAACAGTAACTCCCATACAGTTTTAAGAGTTAAGTTTTTTAATAGTGGAAGTACAAAACAACTTCCACACAGTTAAGTAAAGTGCTCAAGTTTTGATAAGATGTTAAATGTAAGGGCGTAGACTGACCCCATCTCACTCACCAGTTTGAAGAGCTAGAGGAGCTAGAGGAGCAGTTAGTGAGCAACGAGTTCGAGGGCAGCCATCTAGAGGAGAGCAGTATAAGCGTCACGGAGGATGATTAGTCAAGGTTTTCAGTAACAACAACATTAGAGATTATTAGTTATTTACATTTATGATTATGAGTATAGAGTGGAGATCATTTTGAGATTTTAAGTATTGAGTTTGCCCATGTGCTAGGGTGTTGCTTTAAACTCAAAGTGTGTGTTTTCAGTATTTTATTTCTGAAAATTCTTCTCGCCGCAATTTCATATTTGAGTATTTTATTTATCAAGAGCATTTTAGTAAAAGTAGTACCCGGACGGGTTAGGGTGTTTCAGGGATGCTTAATTTGAAGGTATAAGGTTATTCAATAGATGAATTAATCATTGATATGCATGATATGATTAAGAATTGATATGCATGTTTATATAGAGTGAAATTTTCTCCTAATAACATATCTTTACTTTTCCGCTTTTACTTTTTTTTGCCTATATAAAATAGAAAATCATTCTAAACATATCTATCTTTCTTTTCTTTTGTGGGTCGAGATATGAATATCTATATGTGAGTAGTTATGTAATAGAAAGTCTTTTGGAATACGACCCTAGACATTTCTAGGATATATAATTTGATTGTTCCTAATCTTCATTGTTAGACTACTACATTAAATGAACACTCAGGTTTTTGACGCCGTTGACAGAGATTTCTAATCATATATAAAAGCATCTAACCACCTTACGTCTCCTTATGAGTTTTTCTTTTAGTTTGTTTTGCAGATTTTTGTATGAGTCCGGTCTTTACCAAAAAAACGAGTTGAAAACCAAAAGATAGTAGGGGACATAATAAAAAAGGAGGAGCAACTAGTTCAACCTTTTTAATCTCTAAAGAAGGAGCATCTAGCTCAGAAGAAGAAGAAGAAGAGATTTCGAGCCTCTTCCATCAAGAGTCCAACTCGATAAGGAAGGAAAACAATACACGAAGATGGCTGCTATGAATTAGAAAAGAAACCTCTTCCTCAACCTCTTCTACATCATCCACGATGGAAGAAGATCAAATAGTAGCAATCCCACTAACTCTATATGAGTTTTCGAGACCCAAAGCCTCGAATATCACCTCCAACATTGTTGCACTACCAAAAAAAAAATAGAAATTTGAACTCAACTGATCCAAATGGTGCAACAATCAGGGAGGTTTGCTGGATGGAATTATGATTTTGTTGTGCAACATTTAAAGATCTTTTTAGATATTATTAGCTCCATTCTAGGGGTATGAAGCCACTAAAGATGCAATCCAACTATGACTTTTCCCTTTTTCACTTGTGGGAAGGGCGTAGTAGTGGTTAGATTACCATCCTCCAACACCTTCACTACATGGGAGAACATAGCTCAAGCATTCATCGAGGAATTCTTTCCACCATGGAAGATACAAGATAGAACATCTGAAAGATGAAATTACACAATTCCAATAGAAGGAAGGAAAAACTTTGTATGAAGCTTGGAGGAGATTCCAAGAGCATCTCAAGGCATACCCCCCAACACGAATTTACACCAGAGCAAGTGCCTAAGTATTTTTCAAAGGTCTAGATCGAGATAGCACCATGATGGTAAATTAATTTGTCGATAATGATTTCATCACAATCAAGGGAGCTCAATGCCAAGAGAATTTTTCCACACTAGCAAGGAAGTGGTCTAGCGACCAACGATGAAACCATTGAAAGTTGTCCAAGAAAGCAATGAAGTTGCTACCGTCCTGTGTGAGCGGATGAAGGAACTTTCTCATCAACTAAAGAAATCTTCAATGGAATGAAAGAATGAACCGGTAGAATCCTCCTTTGCATGTGAAGCATGTGGAGAAGAAGGTCGTGAAGGAACTGAATGTTGGAGACATGGAGAGCAAGGACAGGTTGATGTCAATTATATTAACCAAAGCTACCAACCAAGGTCAAAATAAGGAAGCTATGCTCCTTACCGAAGATTCAACCAATTAACCTCACATACCTTATGGTTCATGGCCAGGCCCAAGATGGAAGAAGTCTGAAGATTACCCCAATATCACCTCTACCAATGCACCTTATAAAGCAAAATGGAACAAAAAGCCAAGTCCACCTGGATTTGAAAATCAAAATCAATATAAGGAGTCTTTGACAAAAAAAAAAAAAAAGAGTAAGTTCTTCCAATCAACAACCTACCATATTCGAGAAGCTTGAGGTAACAGTTATCGCTTTGCAAGCGAGCTACCAGAATATTGAAAGACAACTTGTACTCCTTATTGATGCCAAACCTCAAAAGCTTAGTGAACATCTTCCCAAAAATACAAATACTAATCCAAAGAAGGAAAAAGTCAAAGTGTTCTCTACTAGAGTAGTATCCTAGAGTTTCCCTAGATCATACAAGGAAGATGAGGATAAAGAGGGGATCCTAGAAAGTTAATCTCTCTACTCAACACTCTTTAAAAACTTGGTAGAAACTCTTGGCGGATCTTAAATGGCAGCGATACTATTGGAGAATATAGTATCAATGTAGAATCTTAAAGACAAACTTGAGAGGTTTCTGGACGAAGAAGACACAATAACCATCAAATATACTCCTATGGGGTTTTAGGACATTGTGTATGTGTGAGAACAGAAGGAGGATCTAGCACACTGTATGATAGAATGCCTTTTCAATAATCATCAAAGGGAGAAAGGATTGATTGATCTTGGTGGAAATATCAACATCCTACCTCTCCAAATCTATAAGTAGATGGGCTAAGAACGCATGGAGGACATTAACACAGAAATCAAGTTAGCAAATAATAGTTCATGCCAAGCACTTGGAATAGTCAAAGACCTCACCTCTCAAGTAGGACCTTTTTTTCTTCCTTCGCTACATAGTGATTAATGTTAAAATTGTTGATGCCTACTCCATACTCTTGGGAAGATCGTTTCTTGCAACTTCCGGATAGACCTGACAATTGGGTTGGGTTGGGACCTCCGGTTATGGGTCGCGTCACGTTGGGTTGGTTGGTTTGAGGTCAAATATTGACCCAACCCATTCGGGGTCGGGTTACAGGTCGTTTCGGGTTATGAGCGCTCTCAGAAACAATATCAAACATGCTTCATATTTTCTTAAAAAACACAAATTTTCACATATGCATGACAATAGTTTACCCAAGGTTCAAAAAGGCGCTAGGCGTAAGGCGGGCGTTGAGACTTTGCCTAGCGCCTAGCTTGCCTAGGCATAGACTAAGCGTGCCTAGGCGTTGGAAGAAAAATAGCTATTCACACTGCATGATAAATGAAATAATAATCTACTACCTTTTCTCACTTTAGTAAAAATGATTAATAAAACATAGCTAACAAATTCATAGAATCATAGCTCAAAAGCTCACGAAGTTCTTGAGCTATTGAAAATATTGATATAGAAAATTGATTTCGTAGTTAACGTTAATTTTCTCCTTTAATATTGTATTTCTCACTCTATCTATTAATGTTTAAGATAGACTTATATGTCGCGTTACTCCATTGACGTGTTCCAGTATCTAATTAGGCGTGAAACTCCTAGACAGGGCGTTTTGCCATTGCCTTGCACCTAGGTGTGCCTAAGTGTAAGATTAAGCGTGTCTTTTTTAATCATGAGTTTAACACATGTCAATTAACATATTCTCAAATCCTTCTATTCTAATGAAATGAAATACAAATTGAGCATATCGTCAAAAAACAATCATAAGAGTAGAGCTACTCCAAGAAACACATGATATTTGATTATCCTTAAACTCCAAACATATCATTCAAATCCTTGCGAATTTATTTAAACATCTCACCCATTTATGAGTGATTTTATAATTTCTGGAGTGATATATAAAATGGAACAGGTCTAATGGGTCGACCCACTAACCCACCCAACCCGACCTACAAAATCACGGGTTATATGGGGTTTAGGTCATTCAGGTTTCGGGTTATAAAACTTTTTACTTTTCGGGCGGGTTCGGGTCAACGGGTCGAGTTGTAATTTGTCAGGTCTACTTTCGGAGTAAAGATCGATGCAGCAAAAGGAGATATAACCTTACAAGTAGGAAAGATTGTACACTAGCTAGAAAACCTGGAAAAAAAACCATTGACGAAGTAGTTAGTAACGATGCTCTTGATGAGAATGAATAGACAGAGCCATATAAATCAAGATTAAATCTTGATCTCCATTTGAGGATTCTTTGAATATAATTGGTCTTCATCATGACCAAGATAGAAGATACGAAGACAAGTTGAAGGAATCTCCACTGGTTTCTGATTTAAAGCTAGGTCAAATGGCACTCAAAATAGTCAGTACAAGGACCAAAACAATGCTAGAAAGAATTAAGGAACCCGAGTACCGGGAAATATCCGAGGATCATCAGGACTTCATACTCTTCCATTGTCAAGACATATTTAATCCACATCCCGTTGAACCAACAAGAGGAAACATAAATGAACGAGGTGATAAATGGGCGTATGTGGTCGCTGCAATAAAAGGAGCATGACTATGCTTAGCTCAAAGGCATATAAAAAAAAGAGCGCTTCTTAGAAGGCAACTCATGTTTGGCATTAATTTCATACTTTCTTATTCATTTTTTGTTCAATTTTGGACTCAAAATCAGACCAATTGGATTTTTGGACTTTTGAAATCCCACTAAAAGTCATTGGTTCCAAATATTTTTTATTTTTATTTTTGGCCAGATGGTCTTATGTGTACAATTGATCAAGCAAGAGAGACCCTCTTGGGCCTTGGCCACGCACGATCCACAAACCGCTACCACCCTGGCCTGGCCGCACAACCAGGGTCCAGGGGCCATAGTTGTCAGTTGTCACTGAGGAAAAGGGAAGAATCAAAAGAAAGGCGCCAGATTTCCCAATCAAACCTCGGCGGATGGCGAATCGGGGCAGAGATAAGAAGACAAGTAGGGAGTGGGGTTGGTATTTTGGGGGAATGCCGGGAAATTGGGCAATGGCAGTTAGCGATTCAAACTTTTCCGTTTGATTTCATTTCCCTCCTCTCTCTCTTCGGCCAGGCTTCCAAATTCAAAACCTTTTCTCCTTGTCCATTTTCCAATTCCCACCTCAAACCCTAATCATACTTTCCATCTCTCTCCAGTCTCCATCCCCAATTCTCCTTTTAATCTGAGTTGATCGTTTACCTGTTCCTCTAAAGTCTAAACTAATCAGCCGCCGCCCCACTCCCCCACTGTCACCTCTCCAATCCTTGTGCCATTTCTCTTCCTTCTTTGATCACTTCATTCTCTTCCTTGCTTATCATCTCCACTAACTCTTATTCGTGTTCTTCGCCCGAAGTGTGTCTGGCTGTCTTGGATCAATAAGGTCAGTGAACACTTAACCCTCGTGCTTCAGTTTCCTTTGAATGGCATCCTCTATTTGCTTAAGCTGTTGACCTGTTTCCCTTTCTGTTATCCGTGAATCTGTCAAAAGTTTGGAGTCGTTTTTTACATCATGGATTTTGTGTTAGTCATACTGGGTTTGAGACTTGAGAGCAATTGGGGTATTTACAGACCCCTTGGGGGGATATCCGCTGCGTTTAAATTCACTACTGCTTCGAAAGCTGAATTTTTTTTCCAATTGAACTTGATTTGAACCCTACGGCAGCCTTGTACGCAGTAGATGTGAATTGGGTTCTTGAGGGATTGACTTCTTCTCTTGATTCAAAGCCTCTAGGTTCATGATCTGCTTGGTTGAATTGATGTTTGAGGAAACCCAGATGGGATGATTGTCGCCCCTGTCACCAAAACTGAGACGGCGGGAAGAAACTGTTGATCAGTAGTCTCAATATGCAGACGCATACTGAGTTTCTCATGGGGCTTTTGTGCGTATTTTCCAGGGATAAGTTGTTCCTGGAGTAGCTAGTTTCATGTGTGCTTGAATGAATGAACTCAACAGGCTTAGAAATACGGTAGTATGTCAGTGGTTGCTGTAAATTGTGATCCTTTAGAAGTATGGCCTGTTCATTAACTCACCACCTGGGCTAGATTTTGTTGATTTTTGAAGATTATAATAGATATGAAGTGCTGCTTTACCGGTGGAATTAAGGGCTGTATTCGAGCCAACCTAGATCTGTTCCTTTTTAATGTTTTCTCCAGTCATTTTATAAGAATGAAATGCTTCCTCCACTTGTCCTCAATACTATAAAGCCTGCCATATATCTTGTGCTACGAATTGCAATACTTCAGTTTCTTTCTCATTAAAAAATTGTACGTTTCTAGTGTTGATGCCTTGATGCTATCTATATTTCAGTTCGTTCTATGTTTCGGCTTAAGTTGACGAAGTAAGATTTTTTGACAGGGATGGATCAGAATTCTCCAAATGCCCTGATTGCAGAAGATGTAGTAGTCTCCCCAGAGAAGGAAGCTATGGATCTTCAACAAACCATGCCTGATTTCATATCCGAGGCGGAGGAAGTCTATGCAACTTATGAAACTGATTCTCCTTTGCTGACTCCTGATACAAAGCTGGGTGGAAACAAGGTCCATCGTGAACTTGCATCTGGCAGTTCTGGTGGTGGTGCCAATAGTTCTGATATCTCCTTGAAGGATGGATCTGACTCATCTGTGTCACTCTCAGACTCTGACTCTGAATCTTCCAACTCTAGCAACGCCTACTATAGTCTCCCGATAAACACTGGTCGGAAAGCTGTGTCGTACCAGTTAGGGAATGAAGAAAAGGTAGGGATGGGTGTCGCTGATGGAAATAATGCAACTTATGAAGAACTGCTCAGGAAAGTAGCCATGTACGATAGTGAGCTGAAGCTTTCAAACCTAAAGCTGCAGAAGTCAGAGGAAGAGGTTTCATGGTTGAAGAATGAGCTGACAAAGGGTACAGAAAGTATGCAGTCTCAACTCCTATCTGCTGAGAGAGAGATCAAAGTTAGAGAAGGCGATCTTGAAGTTGAAAGGAGAAGAGTTGTGGAGCTGGAGAATAGAATAGCTGAAGGTGCATCAGAACTGCAATACCAGCTGGAGTTGGCGAGAGTAGAGATAGCAGCATTGAAGGAAAGCAACTTGAGTTACAGAGTTCAACTGTCGGACCAAGATGAAGAGGCGAAGGCACTGAAAGCTGCAATGCTTGGCGTGGAGGTGAAATTCCGTGCTGAAAGGTCAGAATTGCAGTCTCGTATATCAACCATGTCAGAGCAACAGATGGTGCTGGAGGCAAGCATCAAACAATGTGAAGTAGAGAAGATGGAGATGAAAACTTCGCTTGATGCTCAGGCGATTCAGTTTGGAGCTGAGATAAATCAACTGAAGGCAGAGCTCACTAACAGAAGTGAAGAAGTGGAAGGCTTGAACAAGAACTTCGACACCTTAAAGCACAGATACGACATGGTCGTGGTGGAGAAAGATGAGCTGATTGCTACGGTGAACACCACGAAAGCTGAGCTGTGTTGCCAAGAGGAGCTGAGAAGGGAAGTTGAGGAGCATCTGAAAAGGTTGAATCTTGAGAATGGGGATTTGATTGCTGACTGTGAGAGTGGAAGGAAGTTGGGAGAGGAACTGAGGATGAGAGTGGTGGATTTGGAGAAGGAAGTGGACAGTCACAAGGTTGAGCTTCTAGCAGGTGCTGAGGAGAAAAGGGAGGCGATTAGGCAGCTTTGCTTCTCTTTGGAGCATTACAGGAGTGGTTACAAAGAGCTTCGTGAAGCGTTTATTGGACACAAAAGGCTTCGTGTTGTAGCCTAGCAAGGGACAGAGAAGGAAGCTATGGAGTATGTTGGTGAACTGAACTGAAATGAAGCTGCTTCTGGTCGTTGAAGTTTGTTTATGTTTTCAATAGTGATAATATGTAATGTGAGATAGGTTTGGCTGGGAAAGCATTAAGGTTTATCAAAAGAAGCTCTTTTTCTGTTATTTGGGAAATGATGGGCGAGGGAACTTGCCATAGTGATGCAAGATGTGAGAGTTGGTTGGTTGGGCTTCAAATTTCAGTTTGAAGTTGTGAGAATGCTTTATTTGTTTACTCTATATAGTGGGTATGATAAAAAAAATTCAGGCAAAATTTCAGCTCCTAAGAGAATCTCTTTCACCATGGACAATTGGTATGTTGATTCATAATAGTAATGGTCGTTGTTATACTAAACAGATTGTTAATAGTTTGACAATTCTGATCTAAATCATTGGTCTTGTCTATGGTAAAAGTTTGAGTTTTTCTCAGTTAATTCTTCTGTTTTCTATATCACTAACTAATATGTTTTTGTGAGCTGGCATAACATGGTAACAAAAGAAATGCATTACTTATATATCGTTGGCTGTATATATTTCGTAAATAAACATAATCTACTATAATGACAATCCTGTGAAGTAAGATACAATATTATTTGGTATTATAAAAATTATCCAAATTGTTTAATAACCACAAAATAAATAAAAAATTACTACATTGTTAAAAAAAATTTACTACATTGTAGAAGTTTTCGACATCAACAAAATCAAAGTAAAGTAAGAAAAACTAATGCAATGGAATCGAATATTACAAAGCTTTACAAAACTACACTTCTATTTACTTCTTGCGGTTATAAATTATTGCAAATTTTATTTTTTGCTTTGCCATTAACAACATTAAACTGAAGTAAATTTGAAATGCTTATTATTATACATAAGTATAATAACCCTAGCACGAGAGAAATCTTCTTTGATTTCACTTCTCATCAATATCGTGTTATTTTTTATGGCATTAATAGGAATTTGGTATGACCAAAATATCATTGCATGTTTGGAACTGAATGACTAATTTGTTTGAATTATATTCCTAATGTACTATTTTCAGAAATTTGAAGTTCTCAAAAGTGTGAACTCTTTGCTCATGAATTAGAGGCTGAAAACCTAAATTTAGCCTTTGGGAGCCATATTAATAATGTTTGAAAACTTGAGTCATAAATAAAGTTACACATATCACTTGGTTTGGCCTGGTAAATAACAACTCAAATCATTAGGATTTTGCTACGGTGATTTGCAAGTTACCATTACTTGTACATATAGGTCGACCGAAAGTAATAAAAGTAGACCAAATATGTTGTTTTCTTTTTGTTACGTTCAACAAAGCGGTCGACCTTGTACATGAAATGGTCGACCTCTTTAGCAAGCAAACAATATAAAAGGTCGACATCAATCTTAAAGCAGTCGAACTTGTACATTAAATGGTCTACCTTATTCTCAAAAGGGTCGACCTCTATTGCATTACCTTATCATCATCGAACTCGGAATTATCTAGGGGTGTGCAATGGGAAACAGTTATTTGGGTATACCACCCATTCCGTTTTTTTAAGGTTACGGGTGCCTACATATCCGTAATATGTATTACGATATGGGACTTGGGATTAAGCACTTTAACATTGGTTACCCACAGGTTATCCGCTAATATCTGTTTCGGTAGTATGGGTACTCGTAATACACATTACATTAATTTCCTATGCAAGACCATAGCTCAAAACCCAGCCACATGAGCACACTATAGGTGAGTGTAACAGAGATGCGAGATGAATGGATTGACTGATGTGTTGCGACTCTTTTTCTGTCTGGTCGACCTCTTGCTGAAAATGGTGGACCTCATTACATATATGGTAATGGCCATCTTGGCAATAACTACCCTGAAGTGGTCAACCTCTTTTTTTTTTTTTACGGTCCACCATTTTGTATATGATTAAATTGAAAGGTTGACCTCTTTCCTATTGTGACCATTTATTTTATGACTGCCTCAAATCGGCCGACCAATTTTTTGTTGTTGTCGACCATTCTGGTAATGACTACCTTAAAACAGTCGACCATCATATGTTAATGGTCGACCGTCATTCTAGGTATCACGATGGTGTAACCGATCGACCGAAAGAGTACATAGGTCGAGCGAATTGTGCAAGTCACGATACCTTGCATGTCACCATAGGTGTATTGTTTGTGATTTTTCAAAAAAAAAATGGATATTCTTAATGGGTAGTCCATTGGTCGAATTACTTTCTTTTCGAAAATTACTTTTCATTAAATCTTAAATAATGTATAAATATATATAATATGCAATTACTCCTATCAGAAGATGAATGCCAAAATAATAATTTAAATACCTAACAGAAATCCTAAGTCATTTTCATCATTGTCAAAACTATTGGGTTAATATCTTATTTTGACCCGAACTATGACCGTATAATCAACTTTGGTCTGTGGTTTCATAAATTAGCATCCTGACCTCAACTATGCAACATATAGACTCAATTGGCCCGACACATGTTTTGACCGTCAATTTGAATGGTCAACACCATTGACCATTAGTCAACATGCCATGTCATTGCCTCGTCAGCCTAAAAATCATTAAAGAAATTCAAATTATTTTCCTAATTTCTATTATTTATCATTTTCAAATTAACCAAAAAATATTTTTATTTTTATTTTTTGGTAAATTTGAAAATGATAAATTTTATAAATTTAATTAATTATTTTAAATTTTATTTTTTGGTTAATTTGAAAATGATAAATAATAAAAATTAGGAAAATAATTTAAATTCGAATTTTTTAATGATTTTTATGCTGATGAGACAATGACATGGCATGTTGACTATCCAAATTAACGGTTAAACCATGTGTTGGGCCAATTGAGTCCATATGCTGTATAATTGAGGTCATGATGTTAATTTCTAAAACCACGGGCCAAATTTGATTATATGGTCATAGTTCAGGCCAAAATAAGGTACTAACCCTTTTAAGAAAGCCCAAAAAAATGTTATAAGGGTGAGCCCAAATATGGATGAGGTTTGGCCCAAGGAGAAATATGGTAGTTTAGACATGTGGTGTCAAGTTCCTGACAAGGGACGCAAATGACAAAAGACATCCAACGGACAACAATGTACAAAAAGCTGAACATATAATGTCATGTGTCCGACACATTTTTTGCCATGTTGATGTAGGACAGAATTGGGGGCATTGGTCGGCGAGAGTCCTAGTATAAATAGTGAAGTAGGTAACCTCATTTACTTAGGTTGAAATTCTCTCACTAACTATCACCACTTCTCTCTCTAAACTTGGGTACTGACTTGATCGTCGAAGGTCTAACGGACTCCCTTTGGTCCGTTGTGTGCTTCATAGGCAGGGAGCGGTGCACCCCCAAGACGCTTCAGGTGGCTCGGAACTGTGCATAAACACTATTCATGCACTATACTTCAAAACTTTAAAACTCTTTTTTTAACCTTCAATGAGAGACTCTTAGTTTAAACCTCGAACAATCATTTAAAGAATTTTATTCTCAAATAAGTGGTTGTGTTTTTGCATATTTTTTCCTCAAAACAATATTTTTCTCAAAAATTACATATTTGCTCACGTTTTCTTGAAATAGAAGTATAATGAACTATTGTTCACTCAAGACTCACAAATTATAAAACTAAAACCATATCATTAAAAAATTAATATGCAACTTTATTCCTTTAAAATAAATTATTAATAGCTTTATATTCATAATAATAATCATTTCTCAGAACTCATTCACTACTTTGTTACATGTTACCCTTATTTAGTTAAACAAAAGGTTGAAAATATTTTATGTGAAAATATTTATTATAAATGAAGGAAATTATTACCAGATAAATATAAACTGACCCAAATGATCAATAAACATTGAATTTATCTCTTATCCCCAAATGGCATACAGAAAAAAAGAATGATGCAGCTTATTTAATGGAAAAATTGGCACGGATAGAAAAGGTAGGAAAATTTGGGGGTTTTTTGTTCATGATACTTAATTAATTACTAAAAAAAATGCTAATTACTAACTGAAATTAATACTTTACTCGAATTATTTTTTAAATAAGTTAAATAACAAAAATGTCACTGCTAAAATTACTCAGAGAACTGAAAATTTTGGATGGGGTATATTTCGATGGAGAACTTTTATGTCTATGTTTGGCCCGGCTTTTAGAAGTGCTTTTCGGTTTTAAAAGTATTTCAACCAAACGCTCAACTGCTTTTTGTTGAAAAATATTTCTCTAAAAGTTCAAGCAAAAGCTGCTTCTGCAAAAAAAACTACAACGGGTCAAACTAGCCCAAATAAGTGGTAGGATCTGGGCTGTTGCGAGCGTGACCCAAGCCCCCCATTCAAAATATGATCTATCACACCATGAAATTAAATCGAAGCTCTTTTCTATACTCTTTTTTTGTTAATTACGAAACGATTTCTTTCTTTATTCTTGAGTAGAAGGATTTGAATGGACTAATCAATATCATTAAGAGTGAGTCAAATATGTAACAAAAGAAATACAAATATAGTAGTAGGTTTTTCAGCCTCACGGCCACCACAGGCCAGGGCAGTTGAAAATAATATGAATTATGTGTCCCATATACAGTCTCTCTCGTTATTGACACATTCAATTCAATTCCAACCATAAACTGGACAACAACAACGGAAACACAAGAAAATTTGTCGAAAGAGACACTCCAAATTAATAATCAAAAGTAGCTTTTGGGGGGCAGGCAGGACCAGGACCATTGCATGGAAAAATAGCTAAAATTTTCTAGAAACAAAAGAGCTAAATTTGATCATTAAAAAAAGCTAAATTTAGCTCTACAGTGAGTCCGAGGAACTCAAATTATTTGGAAGATGAGAAATCATCACATTAACTTGTAGTTAAAATGTCTTACATATTAAGTAAATATCAAGAAGAATTTAGCTGTATAGAACGAGTAAAGAAAGAATGATAGATACATAGTAAAACTAAATTTACGTGTTGCTATTCACTAGCCACCGCAAAATAAATCGTATGATGGAGGGAGACAGAAAATTGCACAAATCAGATTGATACTATCATTCATATATCATGGGGAAAAAATGTTACTAAAAGAGAAAAAATAGTTCATTAATGAGTAGGGTGGGCACGTGGGTGGTTAATCCGCCGATTGATATCGATCCACCCGCCAATAACCTGATCCGCACGCAGTGGGTGATTGATGTGGGTGGATTGCGTGTTGATAAATCTCCCACCCGCACTTATGTGGGTGGGTTGTGGGTGGATTGCGGGTCACCTGTATGACCCGCATCCTATTTGTACATGAAAAAATATTGTGTCTTATAGTATCGAATATTCATCATATTTTCAAACTGTACTGCAGTATGATCATAT